TGTGTGTGTGTGTGTGTGGCCAGCTCAGCCCACCAGGGGGCGGGGCTGGCTGGCATGTGGTGCTGGGGGATTGAACTGTGGTCCCTGTGCTCTGCTAAGCTTGTTCTAAGTAGGTGCTTTAGACCACTGAGCCATCTCACCAGCCCTATTGTTTCTATTTGCTCTGATCATCACTGTGCAAATAGCTCTTTAAAAAGCTGTGTGTAGTGGCACCTGTCTGTAATCCCAGCAGTCTGGAAGGCTGAGGCAGGATGATCACAAGTTTTAGCCCATCCTGGGCTATTTAGCAAACTAGATGTTGTGTGAAAGTAAAATTAGGGGACTGGTAAGATAGCTCAGTGGTCTAAAGCACCTGCTTAGGCAAGCTTGGGCAGGCGCAGGGGACCACGGTTCCATCCCTAGCACCACATGCTGAGCCAGCCCTGCCCCAAGGGCTGAGATGGCAAATAAATAAATAAATAAATAAATAAATAAATAAATAAATAAATCTAGAGATATAGTTCAGTGTGAAGGTCCTGGATTCAATCTCCAGTACTATAAAAACAAAAACAACCCCTCCAGGGCTGGAGAGATAGCTCAGAGGTCTAAGCACCTGCCTGGCAAGTGCAAGGACCTGGGTCTGATCCTCAGCATTGCATGCTGTGCTGGCCCCGAAGCCCTGGGCATGCTGTGTTAGCCCCAGAATCGGGTGTGGTGGCACATGCCTGTAATCTCAGTACTGGGGAGGCTGAGACAGGAGGATCACTATGAGTCCCACTGTGTAGTGAGATCTTATACCAAATACATAAAATGTTTAAAAAATAAAAATCAAAAATACTCCTGTTAAAACAAAACAAAACAACCTTTAAACCAAAACCAAAACCATAGAAAGAAACAGAAAATAGCCTTGGTCATATCTCCAGGATGAACAGAACCTTTCTGTGAATTCCACGCTCTGTCTAGTACAACCACTGGCAACCTTTTGGAGAAACAAAAACTTGTATTTACTTACTTTTTCTTGAGCTCTTTTATTTTAGCTTTGTCCAAGGTCACTTAAAAACTATTTCTAATGCCACATTTAAAATGATAAAAATAAACATCAAATCATAGTGAAATATGTGCACATATGTTTATAGCAGCACAATTTGTGATAGCCAGATCTTGGAAACAACCCAAATGACCATCATCTGAGGAATGGATGAAAAAGATATGGTTTTTTGGGGGGCTGGTGAGATGGCTCAGTGGTCTAAAGCACCCACTTAGAACAAGCTTAGCAAAGCATAGGGACCACAGTTCAATCCCCCAGCACCACATGTCAGCCAGCCCCGCCCCCTGGTGGGCTGAGCTGGACACACACACACACACACACACACACACACACACACACACAAATAAATAAAATTTTTTAAAAAAATGTTAAAAAAAGAAAAAGATGTGTTTTTTTTATACAATGGAGTATTACTCAGCTATAAAGAATGATAAACTTGAAGCCTTTATACTTAAGTGGATGCCACTTGAAGATATACTCATAAGTGAGATGAACCAGACCCACATGTGTGAATATTGTATAGTTTCCCTAGTATAAGAACTCAAAAGAAGAAATAAAAATAGAAGGGTATAACATAATTAAAAGGAAAGTGAGAGCTTAAGAATTAGACAATGAAGAGAGGGCAAAGAGAAAAGCTAGGAAACATAACAGGGGCAAAATCATACATTTATATGCACAAGATGGTTAAGGCAAAGATCCTGAGACTCTTCAGCAGGTTTTTCCTTTTTTTTTTTCTTTTTTTTGCGGAACCGGGGATTGAACTCAGATCCTTGTGTTTGCCAGTCAAGTGCTTATCCTACTGAGCCATCTCCCTGGCCCCTTCAGCAGGTTTTTGAAACTAGCAGTTAATTGGTAGAATTCTCACCCTGACTAACTATATATGCTGATACCTGTGAGCTAAGTAGCTGCACTGAAGATAGCAATGTGTAATGCTAGGGTCATGCTTGGAATGCCTGTCATTCTGGTCTTCTAAATACTGCTTGTCATGTCATATCAATTTCTGCTATACTGTCTCTCAGTTTGTCTCTCATTGTTTTAAAAAAAGGGTAATAAATGAAAACAAGAGACAAGAAAAAAGTCATAGGACTGTCCTGTTACAATGCTATATATGGTTAGATTTCTAAATTTCTGTGTAAAAATTTGCAATTGTTTATTCCTATTTTAAAAAATTATTTTCTTTTTTCATATTCTGTTGGGATTTAAAGTTTAACATATGAATACTTCATGGAAAATGCCTGTTCCATGTTATGTCTAAGATGTTTGATATTCAGATAGATAGTGAGATTAAGCTCAACTGCCTATGTCATAGGATAATGATATCATTAAGCTTCTTTTCTGGAGGGTTAACAACCTAAGTTTGCAGAGCAAAAATTAGAGAAAAAGAAGGGTTGCAAGGACAGCCAACATTTTGGCTCTAGCCTTTCAAGGTCTGTGAGGACTAAGGACATAAGAGAACCAGTACTATAACATCATGTAACTCAGTGGTGTCCCAACTTTTCTGATCAAGGAGATTATGGAGCCCCAGAGGAAAGTGATTAACAATGTAGAGTGTGCCTCAGGAGAGTCACATGGAGAGAAATATTCTCTCAGGCTTTCACACAGAGCAAATTGGTCAAGCAATGGCTGTGACTCATTCTCATGGCTGACACTGACAAAAGATCCACAAACTGTGGTTACAGGGTTTCAGGGTAAATCCTGAGGGGATTTGACTGACCTTACCAGATACAAAAGTTACATTTCTTGTTATATAGGTCTTGCTTTGTCTTGGTCTTAACCATCCAGCAGAAAAGTATAAAAATGAGGTATAAAAAGTAAAGCCATATTAATATGCTGAGCTATAAAAGGCTCAAGTTAACTTCTGACATTGCCAGTCCTATGGGTAACCCACTACTATTATGGACTACTGGACTATATTGGATTATTTTGCTGATTCATGCAACTACAATATTTAAATGGCAATGGAATATACATCTCTGACAAACCTAAACAAAATGAAGGACCATTTTGTATCAGTATTTACAAAATAGTTAGGATAAATATGCAGCTACTTTCTCTTAATTCAGTGAGAAGAAAGATTTGTACTAATAGTGTTTGGACAAGATATCATGTCTGCATCTTTTACTATGAATAACCACTATGAAGACAGCAATATACAATGTACTAATTATTGAAACTATCCTACTAATCGGTTTTGAAACTGTCTCATTGCTATTTGTTTCTCAATAAAATTTAAAAAACCCCCAAAAATAAATAAAATGATAAAAATAATAGATACTCATTCAGGGAAACTTGAAAAATAAACAAAAGTAGCCAAGTAGAAATGTGTATCATGATTTACCTGACAACTGTCTGAATTTTTTTAAATGAATAAAATATTTTATTTATTTGTTTGTTTGTTTGTTTATTTATTTATTGCAGTACCAGGGATCAAACTCAGAACCATTAACATTTTTATTCTATTTTATTTATTTGTTCAATTTTTTGCTGGCTCAGCCTGCCCTGTGGTGCTAGGGATTGAACCGTGGTCCCCTAAGCCTGCCTAAGTTTGCCTAAGCAGGAGCTTTAGACCACTGAGCTATCTTACCAGCCCCAACATTTTTATTTTAAAGAGAATAAAAAATAATGCTGCCTCCCTTTTGCATCTCTTGTGCATTTTGCCGCTCCTCTAGCTCTCGGTTGGCCTGTCCTCACTGAATTATAGTTCATATGCAGAACAAAATCCTTTCTGCTCAGCGATCAGGCCACTTTTATTTTCAAGTTTGCAGCCCCACACCCTGACTCAGACCTTTCTGTTTTCAAAAACAGTGTGATGTTCACTGTAAATTTATGATAGGAAATATGATAAAAATATTAAGTGAAAAGAAACTATAGTTAAATCGTGATATAAACATGAACAATCCTAAATAAAAGTTTACCCAGTGAATTGTGTCATAGATAAAAATACTGATATGCGATGAACAAGTTGGTATTTATTTAGACAATATGGCTCATTCAACATGACAAGTTAAGTCCATAGATTACTTCTTGTAAGACTTGAATCAGACTGACTCCCAGCACCCAACCTGCTTGCCAGAAGCACTGTCTCAGCACGCACTCACCTCAGCACTGAGGCTGTGATGGGCAAACACAGGTTGTGT